GGCAAAAATACTGTCCCTAATTTGCCTGCACTCACAGCAGCCCCACTCTTTTTGTTTATTATTTAATATTAGTCAACTGTTTTATGATAGAAATGTTTAATGACCAACAGTCTTTTTTTTTTTTTTTTTTTAAATACTGCCACTTTGAGAGAGAGAGAGAGAGAGAGAGAGAGGATGCAATGTCATTTGTTGGAGATATGCAGGCAAAAAATAATAGATAAAAAATGGATAATAGACTCTCTCTCTCTCTCTCTCTCTCTCTCAAAGGCGGCGCTGAAAAGACCATAATAAAAAAAAAGAAAAAGAAAGCTCTTGAAATGCAATGCAATGAATTACACTATTGCAGACTTATAAACTGAGGTTTTAATGAGATTATTTTAATATAGTCAGTCATGAACTAAAGTGAGCCGGTCTGAGGCATGAAACTCCAGAGCTGAAAATGAGTCCCACTCCGGCCCTGACATGGATTGTTCTTTACTTTCCAAATTATCATTCTGAAAATAAAAAAAGCACATTTCATTACACTATTTATTATTTTTGCATGACGTCATAGCTTTATAGGAATGCACACCTTTTCTTAAAAATGCATAAAATAACCCTTTATTCCAACATAGTGTATCTGAAATCGCGTACTGAGTAGGTACTACATTTGAATTTACTTCACAGCCGTTAAAAAAGTGTGCTCTACATAGTATAAATATGGGTAGTATATATGAAATTTGGACATGCTTACATCCGCCATTTTTTTACTGTCACATGACCTACCTGCGTCAGTTGCGTCGCTTCACTGACGTTCATAAATCCTCTACAGTAAAGTGTGCGAATGCACACGGAAGTTGTAGGTCATCCAGGTACTTTTCACCTACTGTACTTCGAATACTCTGAATTCGGACATACTACTCGCCTCACATACTGTTTTTGCATACTATATAGTAGAGGAGTATGCGATTACAGATGCAGCTTTACTCTCCCAATTCATTCTTATACAAAGCATGCTTGGAACTAAAAATGCACTGCTCAGTTTTAGTCAATTCAATAAAATTATTCATACACTCCCAACACAAATGGATTAAGTAAACCTTCACACGTGTAAGTGGATTGAATGTAATGACATTAAATTGTGATCAAATGTTCAATTGTGTTGCTTTAATAGACACAACCATACAATTTGTGTTCTTTCTTTTCTTTAGGGAAACGCGATGTGAAATATGAACGACTAGAGAGTGAATCAGAAGCAAAGCCTTCTAAGAAGAAGATCTGTGCATTGAAGATCTTTTATTTTTATTGCTTATTATTTGCGCTTTTCTTTATTGTCTTCATTTATGTACAAGATTCCTCCGAAGCACCTTATGCCAAACCAGAAGACTCTGACCTGCCAACTCATCCTTTACCAATCCTCCAAACACCACACATATACACATCCGCCAGTCCTCCGTCTGCAAAGGCGTGTGGTGTTCAAGTGAAGGATGGGCCTTTGGTTAAAGTCGGGCATCTTAACACATACGTGATCGGCTCTTACTTGGAGCATCGTTTTGGTGAGAAACAGATAAAGACGATTGCCATTGTTCTTCGACGTGAGCAGGCGACGTTCAGTTGTGTGATGTGCTGCGATGGGACGACCGTGAGGTTACCAGCTGAATGCTCAATTCATGACGACCACTTTAACTTTGAATATGGCACCGCTACTATCATGTGCACAATCAAAAGCACATGTTTGACACCGACGCATGTTGCAATCACAGCAAGTGGCGTCTCAGGGAGCCTAACATCCTTCCAACCTATTAGAAACAGAGACGTTCCAACGACCTTCCCGTATGAGTTCACAATCTGCATCTCTGTCATGTACGACTACAAGAGTGTGCTGAATCTAGTCCAGTCCATGGAGATGTTCAGACTGCTTGGCGCTCAAAGGGTGGTGATATATAAAACCAACTGCGATTCACACACACAGAAGGTTCTGGACTATTATGAGAAAAAAGGTTTCGTGGAGATCATTCCGTGGACGATTAAAAAGCACATTAAAGTGTCTCGCGGCTGGAATATAAATAAGTCGCCAGGTCAGCTGCAGTACTATGGGCAGATCCCTGCGCTTAATGACTGTAAGCAGACACTGGACACTGGAAGCTGTGCACATTACGTTTATGTACTTTTGTAATAATAGATAGAAGTGTGCTTCCTGGGAGTGGGTGGAGATAAAGAGCACTGATGTTGGCATGTTTTACTTGTTCGGCTCTCTGATTGGTGGAATTTTCTGTACAGGATTGTGGGTAATGTAGTTTCCCACCACTGATTCTTCTGTAAAAATAATATTTTAAAAATAAGTTGAAATAAAGCAGACTGATGGTTTCAAAAGAAGCAAATACCATCGATTAACAACCTCGTATATCTCACAGCAGTTATGTCTATAAATGTTTATGTTACGTAAAAATCTGTTTTCCTATGGAGAAAATAAATGCAGTTTTTCATTCCAAAATTAGGAAAAGTTCAATAGCTCAGTATGAAATATATAGAGGTTAAGCACAAAAATTGTTTTTGCATGTGCATTCCCTTTTTCTGCATTGCTTCATGACATTGAATGTGTATAACATTCATATACACTGTATGGTTTGCATAATGCCAAGAAGACCAACATATCTGCTGGTTTAAGCTGGTCCTTAGCTGGTCATGTACTGGTCCTAAGCTGGTCCTAAGCAACTAGCTCCTGCTCAGGACCATCTTAGGACCAGCACATGACCAGCTTAAACCAGCTCATGACCAGCTAAGGACCAGCTCAAACCAGCAGATATGCTTCAAAACATACCTAACCAGCATATGCTGGATT